ACAAGTCTTAAAGCTGTCAAGTTACAAGACCATTGTACCCCTAATCCTTTAGAAAAAAAAAACCCCAGGGGTGTTCAAACTTGACAGCTTTAAGACTTGTGGACTTCAACTCCCAGAATTCCTCCCCTCGCTCTTCATCTTGATGATGTGAGGACGGGTGGGGGGAGGGAGCTGGAACTGGGTCTAAATGGCACGGTAGATTTGTGGAACCTCTTCTATAGAAGAGCTTAGCACTGGCAGGAACCCACCTCTGGTTCCAATACATTGGAAACACGGAGGCTGCTTGGAAAGATGGTTTAATGGTGAAGCAGAACCACCAAGCAGGTGTGATTCTGGTTAGAAGTCCACATGGAGTGGAGAGTGAGATATATTTCCATCGTCTCTTGGGCCTTGCAAGAAATGTGCCCTATTAGTTGTCAGACTCCCAAGGGGCTGTGCGAGGGTCCAGCTAACCTTGTAGGCTGCCTGTGTCCCAGGCTTGGTTGAATCTTGCTGGGTGATGATGCAATGAAGAGGCTTGTGTTCCGAAATAGGAGTTGGGCAATTCTTATTATGGCTTAATGCAGGGGTCAGCAACCTGCGGCTCTGGAGCCACATGTGGCTCTTTCATCCCTCTCCTGCAGCTCCCCGTCACTCAAAATATGTGTCAGAACCGCCAATGTGCGGCACCCGCCGACATGCGGTTTATTGAGCTTTTCAACCCCCAGTAGCCTAACCACAGATAAATCTAAGAAAAGTTTCAGGAAAAAAACCCAGAACATTTAATTCAATGAATATGCAAATTTTGTGGCCGCTCAGGAAATAGTCAGGCGCAGGGAAAGTTTTGAAGCAATGGATGGAAACGAATCAAGGAGAGAAGCAACTTAGAACTGAGGAGAAATTTCCTGACAGTGAGAACAATTAATCAGTGAAACAGAATTTGCCTCCAGAAGTTGTGAATGCCCCAGCACTGGAAGTCTTTAAAAAGATGTTGGATAGCCATTTGTCTGAAAGGGTATAGGGTTTCCTGCCTAGGCAGGGGGTTGGACTAGAAGACCTCCAAGGTCCCTTCCAACTCTGTTAATCTATTCTATTCTATAACTATTTTTCACCACGGTGTTCTAGAAATTTAAAGGAAGGAGACAAAAATCAAAAGGAATTGTTGGATCGAAATGTGAAGAAACAAAGACAACAATACATTTGTCTCCCCCCCCCCCCCCCAAAAAAAATGCTCAACAAGTATGTAATTTTTTTTTTAAAGAAAAAAAAAAGCAGATTTTTAGCTCTTAGACATCAGGGAAATGTTTTACACGTCATCGTGGGAAAAACCTGAGTAAAACAATTAGAACAATTTATTGGCATCTTGCACTGGCTCATCATGTAGAAACATTTTTCAAGTTACTCATTGGGTATCTGCATGATTATAAAGAATCACAATTGTGTGTCATTCTGCAGGCAGTGCTTCAACCCTGTTTTGACTCTGAATAATTTGCAGCAGCACAATCTTGGGGAGTTAGCAAGGCATGAGTATCCTCTGAGTATTGTTCTGTCGAAATTTAGCATTTAAAATAACATGTTAAATTTAAATTGTTTTTGCACTTGATAGCAAAGCAAATTCCATTCCGTGAATTGGCCTGGAAA